TCCTGGATGCTCTGAGAATGCCAAACAGCCAAGAGCTGTCAACAATCCTCTGGGAAAGGGAATTTGCAAGGGCCTTCTAGAGAATTCCATCCCTCTGCTGGCCCATGATTTGAAAGGCTTGGCTCACCTTGGGGAGTGTGGATAATGAAATTCAGATTAAGCCCGTCTGATTCATGACATATAGCAGGGAGTCTGGTGTGCCCATGTGGCCACCCATGCTTCTTTCTGGTGTTAGGGGGACATCCCTCCCAGATCACTCACAGAGGATAATCCAAAGTGAAAAAGGCGCCGAGGTAGGAGATTTCTAAGTGTACAAGAACCAAACAGCAATGGGGACACAGAGGAAAGAGGGCTTTATGGAAGCAGACGCTCCTGGTGGATTTCCTGCATTGCCAAGGGTCAGATACATAACCGAATAAGGAAGGGCCGTGGAAGAAGGGCCATGGCAAGATGGGAAAGGAGCCATGCAGGCTGGCTGCAGGGGGTGGGGGGTGGGGGTGGGAGTGGGTCCTGTCAGGCTGAGTCTGTAGCATCAAGATAACAATAGTAGCTAATTTTGTTTGTTTGTTTTTCGAGACAGAGTTTCTCTGTTGTTTTGGAGGCTGTCCTGGAACTAGCTCTTGTAGACCAGGCTGGTCTTGAACTCACTGAGTAAGATCCACCTGTCTCTGCCTCCCCAGTGCTGGGATCAAAGGCATGTACCACCACCGCCCAGCTCAGTAGTTCATCTTTTAAAAAGAACTCAGTTGAGAAGCAAAGGCCTCCACATACCGGTTATATGTCGGGGGGGGGGGATTTTTGGGGTAGGAGTTTAAAGAGGCTGGATATGAGCTCAGGCAGGGTGCCCTGCTACAGAGAGAAGGGACAGACATGCTTCTATCAAGTGTTTTGTCATTTTTCAGGAGTTAAGGAAAAGAGAGAAAATGAGATTAGCCAGGGAGAAGGTGACAGAGATAGGGTGGGAGGGATCTGGAGATGATGGGGACATGACCCAGGGAGGATCTGAGACTCCAGTGGAAGATGGTCAAAGCCAAGCGTGGGGGAGGCTGCCGTGAGAACAGGATGAAGTTCTGAATGTGTCAACAGAGAATGACAAGGGCCAGCACCTGCTCCGGGTGCTAACTCCACTAAATGCAGGTGCTTCCCATATACAATTAGGCTGCTGTTTGGGGTTCTTTTAAGGGAAAAAGCAACAGCTAATTCTGAAACACACGACTCTCGAGTTATGGTTAGCTTCTGCACAAGGCTTCGTCTACCTATGCTCCTGCAGAGTTGATAGAGAAGCCTTGCTTATAGTTACAGGTAACTCTAGTGACTTAACAGAGCACCGACCTGGGAGGAAGACAGAAGCCCACAGGCTAGAGTAGTTATAGTATCAGCCTTTTATGCCCAACTCAATAATTGCCACCTGATACTTACCATTTCACCTAAAAAACCTTTTCTACCTGTCTTACATCCCAGGACCTCTGCCTTTACCACTTTGGGCTCTCAGTTACTCTACACAGCAAGCTGCCCCATCGTCTGACCCCTTCACAAGACCAAACTTAATCGCTATACCTTTTAGCCTCCCTGCAGTCACTTTTCCTTAAGCCAATTCTTGGCCCTCCCATCTCTCTTAACCCTGTCTCCATAGTTACACGGAGAATCTCCAGACACTTCCCACTCCTGTGCTTTCCTCCCCACCCACCCTGCACCAGAACCCACCTGCTTCATTTCCATTCACCTCCACGCAATGGGAAGCTCCCCATCAGCCAAGAATTCATAAAGCTACTTCATGAGCCCTCCATCACCCCCTAACTGCTCATAAAACTTTCCCGGTCCTTCAAACAGAGACCCTTAGCCCTAATTAGCACTTACACCCACATATGCATGCACACTGTGCAAGCACACACATGCTGCAATCTGTCCCTGAGATTCCCAAGCTGCTCACAACTTATCAGGCAACACGAAACAGCTGGCCCTGATCCCTTTCATCATCACTCCTGCAAATCCAGGCACTTGCCCCTCCCAGTCTTGTCAGGTTCAAGAGCTCCCACCTGAAGTACTCAGGTCTTTCCCTGAGCCAAGATTGCTTCTGATCAGAGGCAGCTACCCCAGCAAGGGAGAGCAAACCTGAGCCTTCCTTCCATCAGACATCGCAGTGCTGCAGCCGTGGCTCGTTCGCACACATGATTTATGAACTAATTTAGCATGTAAGGAAACATCTGCATTTTGCTTTTATCATCTTGCCAGCAGACAGGCTGAAGACAAGATGCATACTGTAGACTTGTTTAATGGGGCCTTAAACGTTCCCTCTCACTAGCCTGAGCTTACACAAGGCTCTGGTTTCAGAACTTGTCTGATCTAACTGACACAACACAAACAAACACAGAAATAAAGCTCTCCTAAACACGTCCGTACCACAGGGACAGTTGGAATGGCCATAAAATCCATGCTGGTCAAGGCCCCCAAGAGCATTCTAGTGGCCAGGACTGGCTTGGAATTTGGGGAATAAAAAGGTGACTTGGTTATTTAATACTATGCATCCAGACTGCGCCCCTTTTTATTATATACAGTTTTAAAATGTTCATTTAGAGGCACATGAACTTATAAGGATATTTGGGGGAAAACATCAAAGTTGGCTGATGTTGCAAGCAGAATTGTAAAACCCCCCACAACACACACACACACAAAGATACATTCAAGTCCAAGTTCCTAAAACTGTGACTGTGACCTTCTTTCGACCTTGTCATTGGAGATCTGGTCCTTGTAGATATAATCAAGTTAATATGTGGTCACCCTGGATGGGTGGACCTCAGCTCAGTATGAGAAGAGGAAATTGGATTCAAAAGCACACAGACATAGGAGGAAGGTCATGTGAAGACAAAGGCAGAGACTGCAGGGGGGCATTCATGAGCCAAGAGGCCCCAAAGCAGGGAGAGAGGATGTAACATGCTTGCTCTGAGCCTCCAGACAGGTCTGGCCCTGCAGGGGCCTTGATTTTGACCCCTGGTCTCCAGAATTCTGAAAGAATGTATGCTCATGATTTTAACCCAGCATGTGTGTGACAATTTCTTATAGCACGACAAGAAAGTAATGCGGGTATGTCAAGGCCATGACTCCTGTGATACTGTGGCCATTGGCACATGGCTTAGATGGAAGGGGAGGAGCACAGCATGCTACCTGCTATGATCGAATCTGTAGTTCCTTCCGCCAATGTGAGAAAGGCTCAGTCTCCAGCTTGGAGATTTTAAGAGATTGGGTAAAGTGGGAGTTTTTGGGTCACTGGAGGTGTGCCCTTGAAGCACACTGTGGGATGCTGGTCCCTTTTCTCCTTTGCTGCCTGGTTACTGTGAGATGAGCATCTTTGCTTCACTTAGCAGATCTCACCATTATATGCTGCCTTGCTATAAGCCAAAACGCAAACCCCGCCTTCAATGATGCTAACTGATCATACTGAAACTTCAAAAACTGAGCCCAAATCAACCTCTTTCTCCTGGTAAGTTAATTTGTCTCAGGTGTTTGTTATACAAAGTGAATGAATCCATCACCAATAAGCTCCCTGCAGCCACAGGTCACTGCTGCTTCCTGCACAAACTGAAGGCTCAAAATGGAGATCCTCCAATGCCATCCTGTGTATGTGTGCTTATTGTGTTTATCCATTAACATTGGTGTTGGTAGCCTAATACTTTGACCAAGTAAAATCTTTAGTACCTTTTGTGAAGGTGCCGAGAGACACTTTCACTATGGCTGCCATTTGGTCTTCACAGCACCTTGAGACAGCTGTGCCTAAAACAGGTGCCCTTTGTTGAGCTAGAGACCTGAAAGTCCCCTAGAGAACACACCTAGACCAAGCTTGTGTCTGTGACCAGCTTGAAACACTAGCTGCACACAGTGTGCAGTGGGTCAGCCCTTTGCACACCTCTCTTGTTGTCTTCATTTCTCATCAGCCTGGAGTGTATCATGGGATGGAAGCAACGGGTAGTTCGCCAGATCCCTGGCATAACAATGCATTCAAATGTACCTTTGCTGGGGTCTCTAGACAGCTTTCCTGAAGGGCTCTGGCTGGCAGGAAGGAGCCAGCCCTCCCACAGAACAGGCTCTGGTAGGAACTTACTACAAAAGCCCTCTCCTCTGTCTCCTACAGCCCCCTCCTCCTGAGATCCTGGTAAGCTTGCTGAGTTGCACTTTATTGAATATGGTTATTTCTCCCAGAGGACTTTTACTCAAAATCATACTCCTGATTTCACCTCCTGGGGGCCAAAACATTTTCCTAGGAAAAGAGACCTCATTCCTGTACTCACAGCAATAAACCAGAGGCTTCTCCAAGCCTCCTGATTTTAAGATTTGGGTTGGCAGGCCCTACGTAAGAATTCTGATGTTCCAGTCCTTGCCTTCATCTCTTGTTATTCTTGCTAGTTCAAGGGCCTGTTATGAGGTCCGTGAAGAAGCCTGAGATCAGTCTTGCTCACAGTGATGCTCTCAGCACCCCCCCCACACCCCTGTGCTGGGCCCAGAAAAGGTTCCTGTTAACTCCTTTGAGTGTGTCCTGCCTCTCAGGGTTGACTTGACCCTGGCCTCGAATTGCTGGGTAAGCTGGCCATTCTTCCTCTGAGCTCATAGCAGGAAGAGGTCTCAAGATGACAAATGTTGATGCAGACAAGCTGGAGTCAACTTCTCGCCCTGAGGTCTGTTTTGCAATCTATAAAGGGCAAAGGAGATCGCTTGCAAGCATCTGTTAGAAGCCAAGAATTTGAACTTGCTATCCTGGCTCCTACAGTGATGTGGCTCCTTTCCCAGCTAGAATGGTGAATTTGTGTCCCGAGTTATTTCTGCTGAGCTACATGCCCATATGTAACCTCTCAAAATGAGCTGGCTCCCAGAGAAGGCTTCAGGGTGCTGAGCTCTGCGCGTGCCAGTGGCATCATCTGAAATCATGATTTGAACCTTTGGTGAAGGCTTAAGGCCTGAGGATACCTGTCTCCACTCTATCCAGGCCTTCTGAGCCATCTGCAGCTTACCACTAAGAGGATGAGGGACGGTGAACTGCTTCTTGTGGGCACGGACAGGAAGTAGGCTCTGCTTCTGTCCCAGGTTTTCCTTTTGCTGGGCTTTCCTTTGCTGTACCATGTGCTTAAGCTTTTTCAGCCGTTCTTGTGAGCGAGAAATGAACTGAGGTCTACGGACTTCCAGTGCTTCCTAATTGGGACAAAAAGTTTTACTTTTTAAGAGAAGGGAGATCAGGAAACACACACACACACACACACACACACACATCCAGATATCCATCTGTCTTACTCAATGGGAGCCAATCAAGAAAACAATACTGGGTAGGCAAAAGCCACAAAGCAAATCCTTGTGATCATTTCCCCCTGTGACCATGTGTAAAGATGGCAAGAGCACATTGATGACAATCTTCTGGAGGTCAGTTCCAGCCAGCATCACAGAACCCACTGTGGCAGAACCAAGCAATAACTAGCATTGAAACCACTGGGTACCAATGGCCAACATCTTTCCATTTGTAGAATCATGCTGCCAATCACTACACCAAGGAGGGGCCTGCAATAAGACATTCCAAGAGACATGGGTGGGGCTAGAAGGCAGGTGCTAGAAATCTGCATACTCTTTTCTGCCGGGATTGGAGTCTTAGGAAGCACAGTCATTCTCCTGGCACAGAAAATGGCACAGAAAATGGTGCCTTTCCAAAGTCCTGTCTGTGGGTTACAGGACTCCTGGGTAGAAAGAGACAGAAGACTTTGCTATGCAGAGTGGTTCTGTGAGATTCACAGGACAGATCAGCATCCCCTGCATCTCCACAGTGGCCTTAATCCCTTTGATCTCCTTGCACAACACAACATGTGCAGAGCTGCCATGGCAGACACTGGGGATGTCATTTGTATCCATCCTCTTTGGGAATTCCCATATAGATTCTGCAGTGTCCATTGGTCAGATTAGAAAGCACGCCAGCAGCAGCCACACCCACTTCTCCCAGTAGGTCCTACTGGGTCTTCAAGGTCAACCAGAGCATCATGGTACCTCACAGATTGCCTTGTGCAAGAGTGAGTCCCACATGGCTATCTCCCTGCTAAGCTGTGGAGGCAGACACATGCTGTATCTCAGTAACTTTGTATCTTTCACAGGCACTGTCCCGGGTTTGCCTACAGCAGGTACCCAGCACAGGTTAGATGTGATCCTCCCTGCACACTGGGGGCTCAGGGAGGAGCACACCATGAGCTCCATCCATGTCATGCAGGTGCTCCTGGCAGCTGCACTGATAAAGGAGTCTCTCTGGCATTGTGAGCCATTGGCTACTGAGTAACTAACTCCCCAGTCACAAAATGTGCACAAAATGTCAAGTCTGGAGACAATGTCCCTGAGCATGCCCAAGTGTGGCTGCTGCTTTACTGTTCACCCACCTGAGAACATCTTAGAGGTTCAGGATTTGGAGGACAGCCTGGATTTTTTTTTTTTTTTTTTTGCAGGCTCATCAAGGCCCAGGGTTACAGCAGTGAGCCAATGGAATTTTCTTCACATTCAGGGAGAGGTATCCCCCATAGCAAGTGCCGTCCCCCAAAAGTACATCTGCCCATGCAGAATGCTAGTAGCAGCAATTTTCTGCTGCTACATAAAAATTATAATTAATTATAATATATATGTATAATATATGTATATGTAATATATATGTGTATCTGTATATATAATCTTTCATGTCTTTCAACCAATGGCTGCATGATTTGGGAAGTCCCCTGAAGCTTTCAAAGGCTGTGCATCCTCATCTGACTATGGGGTGTATAGAGGCTCTCATCTGATAGGGATCTTTTGAAAATCAAATGTGAAGTGACCCTTGCGACCTGTGGACACCCTTTCATAGCTATGGTCATGGTTGATAGTGCTAACAGTTCTCATTCTTACATTGCAGAGTCATATGTCATTGACTCCAGAAAGCAAACAGCGGAAGAGAGGTTAGAAAAGGTTAGGGAGGGGCCAGTGACAAAGGCAGGGGACTTGCAGTCTCAGGCAGAAGTGAGGTCAGGTGCATGGCACACTCCCCAGGAGAAACCTCCCCTGGATAGAGTCAAGCAGGATGGGGAAGCTTTACCTGCAAGGTCATGGAGCTTGCCAGCAGATGCGGAGGCTCAGAACTATCTTCCAATGGGTCAGAGCTCTGTGGTCCCTCTGCGGGTGTTGGAGAGGGCATTGCTGGTGAAGGCTCGGGTGTGGCAATGAGGTCCTTGTGCTTCTCAAATTCCTTTAGTTTTACAACCAAGTCACAGCATGTGTAATCTAGGAAAGCAGATTTACAATCCACTTAGAGGGCACCCAGCGGCTCCCCTGCCCAGCTCCCAGACACAGGAGGAAGACACACAAGGCAATTTAGAGAATAGAAACCACCAGTGAGTTGTTAACCAGCCTTGTTAAGCCCATGAGATCCTCATCACAGAGCTTCACAGCTGCCACAGTCACTGCAGCAGGCATCAGCCTGAGTCCATGACAGGCTAGTTAGGCCACGGAGGTGCCTCTTACCCTACAGTGTTCAGAATGCCTTTTCTCAAAATGAAAGGAGACCTTTCTAGACTGGATTTCATATTAAGTGTGTCCCTTGTAATTGTTACAGTTCGCTTGCTTCAACACAGCATATTAATCTGTCTTGTGTTTGCCACACTAATGATATAATGACCAGGGATGGTGTTCAATTATGTATCCCTCCCCTTAATTTTCCAGAGTCGGCCACTGGCTTCACATAAGTAATCAGGGGGTTTTTCTCTCAAAGCTGGCTGGGCCCTTTCCTGGGGCCATGTTTTAGTTTCCTTTTGTGGGAAGGGTCAGACTATGAGTGACCCCTTATCACTCCAGATGAGGCCATCTCTGGGCTACCTCCTGATAGAGCCTTGGTCTCAAATGCAAGGATAGGTCCTTCCATCACCTTAGCCCACCCTTCCCCTCTGACCCCCTTACTCTCCTCTGTACCTTCTCAGTCCCAGCCTCACCCTTGGCTCTTACGCTACCCCATTTCACATGATTCTCTGCCAATACCAAAGCACTTAACGCAGGTCATTCTTCCAGTCTTCAAGCGCATTCTCTTTTTTTTCCTGCAGAGGATTTCTTCACTGTCCCATTTTCTCCTTAGGCCTAACCAGTAGCTCAGGTCTAGCCACTAGCCAGCACTCTCTCTTCCAAAAGCAATCCCCTTCTCTACCACACTGTTCCCATGCCTCCTTGCGAACACTCTTCCCCAGCTCATAGAGAAACCAGGGTCTTTGCATCTTTCCCCTCCTTCATCCTCTCCTGGAAAGGATAACTCCGGGGCTAGTCCTGGCATGCTGCCTTCTCACTGCTTGTGGCATCTGTCTCCAGATCCAGCATGTCTCCACTGCTGTGGCTTCTCCCACTGTAGAGACCTCCTCTCTCCTCCCTGACTGGGTCTCCACCCCAGCCCCTCTCCCATCTGTCCACATACTGCTCACCTGGAATGCAAATCCCACTGAGATTCTTTTTCTTTCAAAGTCTCAGCCCTGCCTGCAGCCTAGACTGCAGTGGGTGGAGAGGCTCTTCCATCTTAAACCACCGGGACCTCAGAGAATCAGAAGCCCCTGGTTCTGGTGCTAGTCTCCTGGGCTGCTCATGGCTTTGTGGCCTTTCCCTCCCCACTCAAGTGTCTTTTCTCCAGTCTCATTTTAAACCTCTAATGACATTGACATCCAGCTTAGAATCACTGTGTACAGAGACACCTCTGCTCAGACCTCTCTGAGTGTAGGCCATCTTCAGGCTCCACACATTCACACCTAACAGTTACACTGCGCCTTCTGCACTGCAGGGAGAGTACTGGCCTCAGCACCCAGCTTACGACAGGTGTTTAATAATTGCCTCTGCAATCCATTGATGGTTAAAAACATAAGAGTCAAATCCCAGTCATGTTACTGTTACTTTTGCCAATTACCATAATCAGTTTAACTTTTGTCACCCCAAGACATATGATCCCGTATGGGCCCTTCTGTCTTGTTCCAAGTATTGTAAAAATATCTTCAGGGTGATGGGAAGTCCAGGGCCCATTCTCTGCCATGATCTTCTGTCTTTTCACATAGAACCGTCCACTACATGGTTTAGGAGTGGTCAGTAGCTTGACCTACAGGGACATACATGATGCCTATGTCCAACTTGGTTATTTCCTCTGAGTGAAATGGAGAGGTGATGCTTGCCTGTGTGCACTATGGGGTCCAAGTTGCTCATGTTAAGTGCTAGCTATATGTCAGGGGCTGTACCCCTTAGCTGTTATCCCTGTCAGCCAGTACTGGGAGCCTGGGTAGCGAGGAGGGCATGCTACCTTCAGGGCAACTGTACCAGCTCCCCAGACCTTTCAAGGCCCAGCCACAGAGTCAGCTGTGTCCCTGGGCAGCCTTCTGGGCCTTAACTGCAACTGGCACTGACATTGACACTGAGTGTGGTTGATCTGGGGGCCTCCTGATCTGTATAAAGCTGCCTTCTATCTGCTTGTGAGGTGTGTTTTGCCCATCATGTCTACTTGTTAGTCCTGCTCCTTCTGCCTTGCCGGCAGGTATCTCCATAAGGCCAGCATGTGTGAATCATTCCAGAAAGGCACTGAGCTATTGTCTTTATGTGTATCAAGAAAGAGTCTGGGGACCACCGCCCTTGCTCCTTACCTTTCTGGGACTCTTTTTCTATCTGAACAGTATCATCTTCCTGCAGTGAGGCACATGCAGCTTGTAAAGGGCAAAGAAATCCGGACAAGGGGACTCTGGGTGTCAGGAAGTACAGGTGCTGTCTCTCTTGGGGCTCAGAAAAGATGCGAGATTGACCATCATTGCTTGGCGGACTTGCCCCATCAGGAGGGACGTGTTTAATGGGCTTCTGTCCCACTGGAGGAGCAGGAAGAATCACTTGTGCTTCTCCTTGCTGCTCCTTGCTGTTTCCAGAAAATACTTTTCTTTCTATTAAAAATAAAATGAGAGTTGACTCAAAACATCGGATCCTGATGAGGCTGCCTCTTAGGTGCCTAATGACTGCCCCATTGCTCTTCTAGCTAGTGGGCTACAGCAGGGCTTTAGGGAACAGTAGGTAGTTGTTATAGCTGCATGATAGCAAACTTTACATGTGGTCAGCATCCTTGACTCTGAACTGGAGGTAAGAAGAAGCTCTATTTGTATACACCCTTTACCATGAATTTGGCTTCATTTGTATACACTGTTACCATGTATTTAGTTGCAAAGGGACTGTGCCCAGTAGTGTCCTTGAGAAGTCATATTATCTTTCCTATCACTCTCAGCAGAATAAGGGATGGAGCATCTTACACTTAGACTTGACCCACAGTACCTAAGTTCAGATCCCAGCTCTGCCACTTAAACTCACAGCTTCATCTATAAAAATCTAGGTGAGACGATAATACAATCAGTGAATACTAGACACTATTTATTTGCTCTATTATTGGGTCTTACAAATATAGAACTAGAATATATGCTATAGAATATATTTAATAACACTATTTATGTGTACCCAATAACATTATTTATATAAGCATCAACCATTAAAACAGGTAATAAGAAAATAATAATGCATAGAGCATCGGATACACACTAAGCATTGGTTTTTCCCTATTTTTACAGATATTAATGTCATGACATGTTATAGCAAGCACAGAGGTAGCAAGCAGAGCCTCATGCCTCCATCAAGCTCTGAGGAAAAGATGGATCTATAGATGTGTGGCACATGCCGTTTCTATAGCATAACATCCAGTTCCCCAGACACCTATGTCTACCAATCAGGGACCAGTGAAGGAAGGTATATGCATCTGTGCTTTGCAGCAGCTTAAAGACACAGGTGTTGTTGAGTGAATACATACTCACATTGCAACTGTATTGTTCAGCAAACAAAGCAAAATGAGGCACATTCGTAGCAAATGCTATTTTTGCAGAGGATATCTCTGGAGAGATAGGATGATGAGGGAAAGAGCAATGCAGGCCAGGAGTGAAATGGAAGAGGCACTGTCTCTCTCATGTCTGTTCAATAGGCTGGGATATTTTCAAAAAAGCTAAATTTTCACAATTTCCTGTAAGTTTTAAAAAGATGCCTGTTTTAGATAAAGTCATGACTGTTCTTGAGTTACCACCACCTTACATTGATGTCTCTAAAGGAAACAGCTCCATTGGAGGTGGGAGCAACCAATGTAAATGAGACGGGGCCCTTAAATGTTCACGTGTTGAGGCAGGGAAAAGTAGTGGGTATAACTAGTACAATGAAAGCTAGGAGAGCCACAACTCTGTTTTCTCAAGAGTGTCCTGCACAAGAAAGAGTGGACTCTTGATACTGCTCTGAGGATGTCACTGGTGACCTGTCAACGATGCCCCAGTTTCCATAACTTGCTTTCCCCTAAGTATCTGAGAACAGCTAATTGTAGGGGGAACTAGGCCATGCAGCCCAGTGTGAAAAGCAGCAGTATTGGGGCATAGAATGCCCCAAAATCACCTTCACGAATTTGGGGTCCAGCTCAGAGGAGCCTAGTTGGCAGCTTTTGATTCCTGTTCACAATGAGGGTGAACCTGTGTTCCAGATGCTTCTCAAACAAAACCCAGAGGAAATTCCTACTGGTCCCAGGCTGAAGTGTGGCAGCTACTAGACCTTGTTTTAGGAGTGCAGACATTCCCACATACAATAAAGCTGCATTTTGCTAAATTGTATAGAAACATGTTTGTAACCTTTACTCCAAAATCATCAACTATGTTTAATTATAAAATACTGTAGGCAGGATATGGCCTATAACAGTCAACCTTCCTACATGGCTTCCTTTCATTAGAAACTCTCAGAAAAAAATGTACAAAAAACAACTAATTATCAGGGATACAATCTCTGTCTGTCTGCTAACAAAGGTCATCTACATTTGAATCAATGTATTTACTTATAGATTTACAGAGTAAATAGGTCAATATTTCTACCCATTTAGTATCTGTCTTTTCCGAGCCTCTTTCTCTTTTTACTGCTGTTGTCTATCTGTCTAGATGTTCTAACATAATCAGTGTGAGTTGAATGCTTCATTTGTGACTCGAAGGGGTTACAACAATTCCAGAGAATAGAATACAAATTCTATATTGGGTAACTTATTGGTAACTGTGGATTTTATGGGTACCCTGCTGCTAGTGTCTCTTTTGTGAATTCTGAAACATGGCCTTGAAAGCCATGCCAGTGAGAAGGGCCCCTAAACATTTATGCATTGGGGCAGGGGGAAAAAACAATGGGTACCACTGGAATGCTAAAAGTTAGGCTGTTCACATTCT